ACACACACACACACACACACACACACACACACACACACACACACGGGTTCTGAGGCTTGAGCTCACCTCTCGTGCCTAGATGGCAAGCACTTTACCAGTTTGGTGGTGTCCCCCAGCCCTTACGACTCAATTTTTGAAAACCATTCACCTTTAACCAGCATGTGCCTCCACCTTGTAATCACAGACTTTTGTTTTTGCTTTAGTTCAAACCGAAAATAAGAAAATGGAAAAAGGAAACACAGGAAGATCAATTCTTGTACCCAAAGGAGAAGGATGAGTAAAGCATTTGGAATTCCTCTTTAACTTCTGTTCTTTACATTTGCAAAGGCTTGTCATGCAAGACTGAACACCTGGGTTTCCACTTCCTCACGTCCCCAGAAGTTACCAAGGAGTCACCACTACAGACCCCACCATGACTGTACTCAACGGTTGACTTAAGTGTATTCATCACATTATATGTGATGAAACACATCACTGGCTTCTTCATGGTTTTGCAGCAAACCAACCCTATCCCTGCCTTGCCGAGTCTGCTCTAGATGTTACCTCTGCTTTCTGCATGGCTTACTGCCCCCTGCCGCCTTAGACCCTCCTTAAATACCATCTTTGTGATGAGACTCATTTGGATTTAGACGGCTATTCTCTTCCTACCTTAACACTCTGTGTCTCATTTCCTACCTTAATTTTTCCATTGTGTCCTGGTATTGTAAATGACATTTGTAGACCAGGCTGACCTCAAGCCCACAGAGATCTGCCTGCCTTTGCCCCCACCCCCCACCGCAAGTTCTGGAATTAGAGACATGTACCACCACACCCATCACTGGTTATCTTCTTCCTTCTTTCAAGAGAGTACGCAGTCTTTAAGGATGGCTTTAGGGTTTTGTTTGTTTGTTTGTTTGTTTGTTTTGTTTTGTTTTTTTGTATGTTTGATTGCTTTTCTATCCCCAGTCTCTCAAATTGCACTTGGAGTAAAGAACGTGCTTAATAAAGAGTTGTGATTGACAATCATGGAGTATGTCAGGCTCAGAAAGATGAATGAAATAATGGAACTAGACATTTCACCTTTTAACTTTCTAGATGCTATAGTTTATTTGTAAAGCAGAAATAAAATCACTTATCTGTATTTTTCCAGTGTTGAAGATCTAGTCCAGAACCTTGAACATCTCAGGTGAGTGTTTATCCTAAAAGCCACACCCTAAACCCTTCCAACTTGTCTGAATTAATTAGTCCAGAATCACTAATTTTATAAAGAAAAGGTTTATTAATTAATTATTATTGTTGTTGTTGTTATTGTTTTGAGACAGGGTTTCTCCATGTACCTCTGGCTGTCCTGGACGGCTCTCTGCAGACCAGGCTGGCTTCTAACTCACAGAGATCCACCTGCCTCTGCCTCCCAAGTGATGGGATCAAAAGCACACGCCACCACCGCCAGGCTGAAAAGAGGGTGATGTGGCCCACACTTTCGGAGCTTCAAGGGCACGGTCCTGGCATCGGCTCAGTTCTCTGCTGTGTCACAGTCTGGTTCAGAGCAATAAGTGACATCTCAGACTAGGAGCAGAGAGAAGCAGCAGGGCCTGGCCCACTTTACAGCAGCCCCTTAGGAGAATGCAAGGGATTTCATGAAAAGTACCAGGAAGTCCATAAAATTATTTCATGCACACAATGACCATCAGGCTCAGTAAGATTTTTTATTTTATTTTTTTTTTAATTTTACTTTAACCAACATTCTTATAAAAATGTTATAAAATAATGTATATATTCAAAGAAAATTGAAAGCTATAATCATATTAAAGGACATAAAAAGACCCACTCTCATTTTCTTAATGAATTAAATTTTGTCATTCATTTTACATACCGACCTCAGTTTCCCCTTCCTCCTTTCCTCCTGTTCCCACTCCAACATCCTCCCTCTCCCATCTACCACCCTTTCCCTACACTCCTCCTCAGTCTCTGTGGTGACATATTGTTCCCTAATAAAATTTGTCTGAAGATGAGAGAACAGAACAAGCCACTAGACTAAACATAGAGACCAGGCAGTGATGGCACACACCTTTAATCCCAGCACTGGGAGGCAGAGATCCGTCTGGATCTCTGTGAGTTCAAAGCCACCCTGGAATGAGATTGACTCAGTCTAGGAGAGAAACAGAGCCCTCTAGAGAGTGGAGAGTGGTGGCACACACCTTTAATCCCAGTACTTGGTAAAGCACACACCCTTTAATCCCAGCACTAAGAAGGAAGAGATGGCTGGCTAGAGAGAGGTATACAAGGTGTGAGGAGACAGGACCCAAGGCTTTTCGGCTGAGGAAGCCCTTTCGGCTAGAAGTTTTTTCAGGCTGAGGAGTCCTAGAGGTGAGACATGGCAGGGGCTTGTTCCTCTGTCTCTCTGACCTCTCAGCATTTACCCCAATGTCTGGCTCTGGGGTTTTATTATAAGACCTTTTAAACTTCGAGCAACAAGTCTCCATTCGGAAAGGGGCGGGCCTCTCACGGGCATCAACAAAGCTTGGCACATCAAGTGGAGGCAGGACCAAGTCCTCTCCCTGCATCAAGGCTGGGCGAGGCATCCCGGCATGGGGAATGGGTTTCCAAAAGCCAGCTCATGCACCAGGGACGGGTCCTATTTTCACTGCTAGGAGCCTTACGAACAGACCAAGCTTACACATGCAGAGGGCCTAGGTTAGTCCCATGCAGGCTCTCTAGCTGTTGGTCTAGAGTCTGTGAGCTCCTATGAGCCCAGGTCAGTTTTTAGGGTTTTTTTTTCTTTTTAATGTGCATTGGTGTTTTGCCATGGGTGTCAAGTCCCTAGGAACTGAAGTTACAGACACTTGTGAGCGGCCATGTAGGTGCTGAGAATTGAACCTGGGTCCTTTGGAAGAGCACTCATTGCTCTTAACTGCTGAGCCATCTCTCCAGGCCCCTCTCAGCAAGATTTTTATCATTTAAAAACTAATATACAGGGGCTGCAGAGGTGGCTCAGTGGTTAAGGGAGCTTGCTGCTCTTGTATAAGACCAGAGCTCGGGGACTGGGGATTTAGCTCAGTGGTAGAGCGCTTGCCCAACAAGCCCAAGGCCCTGGGTTTGGTCCTCAGTTCTGGGAAAAAAAAAAAAAAAAAAAAAAAGAAAGAAAGGAAAAGTTCCCAGAACCCATGTTAGGTGGCTCACAAACACCTGTTACTCCAGGGGCTCCAACACCCTCTTGGGTCTCTGTAGGCACCTGCACGTGTGTGCTCAATCATACACATAGACACACACACACAAATAAATAATAAAATAACCACCCCAAAGAAACCAATATGTAAGATTGTACATAAGCATATAAGCAGAATGTGGTGATGTGTGCCTGTAATCCCATCACTAGGGAGGCTTGAAGCAGGTTTGCTGCGAGTTTGAGCCAGCTTGGGCTTTAGTGTGAGTCCCTGTCTCCACCTATAAAACACAGCAAAAGTAATAAAAAGTATTGGTTATAATATAGACTAAATGTATACTAATATATATGTAATGTATACCAAATGTCTATAAAATATATGTTATCTAACATATACAAACCAAAGGCTGTGGGATAGCTGCATTAAGAGAGTTTATTGAGCCATGACGGACACTGCTAGCTGGGGCAGGGGGAGAAGGCAAGGTCCCACCAAAAGTTTCTGCAGTCACGTGAAGCCTGACTATGCAGTGGTTGAAAGTGTCCGCTAGACCCAGAGCTAGGAATGCTTGTCCAATGAATATTGGGAGAAAGAAAGATTCTGTTCTGTATTGTTTTGGTTTTTGGTTTTTCGAGACAGCGTTTCTCTGTGTGTCCCTCCCTGTCCTGGAACTCGCTCTGTAGACCAGGCTGGCCTCAGACTCACAGAGATCCGCCTGCCTCTGCCTCCTGAGTGCTGGGACTAAATCCGTGTGCTGTGAAGCCCATTGTAACTCTTCTTCTTAAGGTACAGCTCTTTGAGTCCCAACAAGTTACTTCCCCAAGGATTCTGGGTATCAAATTTTGAGCCATTGCCCCCCACAACACTATTGGGAGGGCCTGATCGTTCTCTAAACTTCTCAGATATTTCTCTAGAATTGGTGAATTATTTTGCATCCCACCCTTCATCTGCAAAAGTGTGAGGTGGATTTCATCATCATCATCATCATCAATGATTAATTAATTAATTTATTTTTTTGGATTGCCACCTTCTCTCAGACATTGGATAGCACTTCATATTCTTGTTAGGTCATTATAGCTTTTTGTAAAATGTCTAAAATTTATTTTCTTAAAGGTTTATTTGTTTTTACTTTGTGAGTATGAGTGTTTACGTGCTTGTATTTATGTGCTCCGTGAGTATGCAGTACCCATAGGGGCCAGAAGAGGGCAGCAGATACATTGGAACTGGAGTTACAGTTAGTTGTTAGCTGCCCTGTGGGTGCTCAGAATAGAACCTGGTCCCAGGACCCATGCCTGGCATCTCACAACACAACTGCAGGTCTAGGGAGGTCTGATGCCTCTGGCCTCAGGGGGCTGCACACATGTGCGCACACACACACACACACACACACACACACACACACACACACACACTTTAAACATAATTAAAAACCACTGGGCGGCGGTGGCACATGCCTTTAATCCCAGCACTTGGGAGGCAAAGCCAGGTGGATCTCTATGAGTTCAAGGCCAGCCTGGTCTACAGAGTGAGATCCAGGACAGGCACCAAAACTACACAGAGAAACCCTGTCTTGAAAAACAAACAAAACAACAACAACAATAATAATAATAATAATAACCTTCTAAAATATTAAACGACTTGTTCTCAGGCATAGTTGTCCTACTATGCTGTAGGACATTAGAAGTTATTCCTCCCAGCCAACCACACTGCACATCTTTTCCCTCTAATCACCCTCTTTCCATCCCTACCTTCCACCATCCTCATGCACTTTCTGGGCTTTTGAATGTTCTTAATACAAAGGAATGATAAACAACTGAGAGGATAAATATATCAGTCACCCCATCTACTAATTACGTGTTGTAATGTACATTCCATTGTGTGAATGTTAGAACGGTACATTAATGTTCACAACTTCTACATGTCAACTAAAGAATTCTAAGACTATGCTTTGTTCGGCTCCTCCAGTTATCCTCTATGGAAACATTTCTTGGAAATACCCATGTGCTCTAGCCAAGAGGGGAAGACCAACTGGGCATGGCAGTGGCTGCCTATAAACCTAATATGAAAAGATAGGACTGGAGACATGGCTCAATGGTTAAGAGCATTGGCTGCTCTTCCAGAAGACCTGGGTTCGATTCCCAGCACCTACATGGTAGCTCATGTCTATCTGTAACTTCATTCTCAGGGGATCCAGCACTCTTGTCTGGCCTCTGTGGGCAATAGGCATACATGTGATACACAGATATACATGCAGGCAAAACACCCATATGTATAAAGTAAATAAATTAAAAAAGAAAGAAAGAAAAGAAAAATGATAAAAACTAAAAGGAAGACCATTTCACTTGTAATTTTAAAGCATAGTATATGTTGGCTCTGCCTATGGGCCTGTGTCTATTGCATGGTTTAGAAATTTAATATAATATCCTAATATATGACTGAAGCATGTAGGACAGACTGAGGAACAACAGAACATATCTGAAGTCTAATAAGAAATTCAGGAGCTGGGGGTGTGCTTCAGATATGGTATTTACCCAGTATACTTGCGGTCCTGGAACACTTTTTGGAGAAAGTCTCTGTTATGTCTTTTTTTTTTTTT